CCACTGCACTCCAGTCTGGGTGACAGAGTGAGACTCCAACTCAAAAAAAAAAAAGAGAATGACAAACACAAACACACAGAATCTATGCCCACTGCATCATCTGTCCTGATGGAATTGTATCAATTCTTTACTGCCTGAGTAAGTACAGTAAGTCCTCTACCATGAGCCTTCAAGTTGTAAACTTTCAAAGATGCGAGCATATATTTGCATGTCCAATCACATAAGTTAGTTCACACCTGGTGTACACTGTCATGTGCGTATATCCTCACAAGTGGTTGTGCCTTTGTGTACTTTACTGTACAGTACCATACAGAGTACAGTAGTACAGTATCTTTATTTCAAGTCCAGAATGTCCAGAAGCAAGTGTGAAAACAGCAGCGTTGTAGTTGGTACAGCAGAGCTGACTGTGCTAGCTGGTGCCCAGACTAACTGTCAGACTTACAAACAAATTGGACTTAAGAATGTACACTCAGCCGGGCTCAGTGGCTCAGCCTGTAATCCCGCGCCTTTGGTAGGCTGAGGTGAGTGGATTGCCTGAGCCCGCGGGTTCGAGACCCACCTGGGCAGGTGAGACCTCATCTCTACAATAAATCAAAAAATCAGCCGGGCGTGGTAGCACGCGCCTGTAATTCCGGCTACTCGGAAGGCTGAGGCGGAAGGATCACCAGAGCCCAGCAGGTCAAGGCTGCGGTGGCTGAAGCGGCCACTGCACTCCAGTCTGGGTGACAGAGTGAGACTCCAACTCAAAAAAATAAAATAAAATAAAATAAAATAATGTACACTCAGAATGGACCATGTTCATATGTAGAGGACTTACTGTACAATGTCTCACATCAGTCTAATGCCTATTACCCTTTAAGGGTTTTTCAAGGCTTTCACAAATAACTTCTTGTTTTAAAGTCCCATACTGTATCACTTGCTCCAATCTGAAAATGAGATTGCCTACTTAAGCTTCTCTATTATAAATGCAAGGCTTATTAACACATGTGGAATTTAGACACCTTTGAACTGGGTTGAAACCAATGCCTGCTCAGGTCAGTTCAGTGCCAAATTCCATATGAAGAGGCACAGCCAGGGACGTGAAAGGGCTGCAAGACCAAAGAACCCTTCCCTGCCTAGAGAGATGGGCCACCCCCAAGTCATGGCTGATAGGGCTAGACTGGTTTCAGGAGAAACCCAATTCAGGCTTTTTGTGTGTGTGTGTTGGAGTCTCATTCTGTCACCCAGACTGGAGTGCAGTGACACGCTCCTGGCCACTGCAGCCTCGACCTGCTGGGCTCCGGCGATCCTTCTGCCTCAGCCTTCCAAGTAGCTGGAACTACAGGTGCACGCTACCACACCCAGCTAATTTTTTTGATTTATTGTAGAGATGAGGGCTCTCCAAATTGCCCAGGTGAGTCTCGAACCCGTGGGCTCAGGCAATCCACTCACCTCAGCCTCCCAAAGCGTGGGATTACAGGCTGAGCCACCGAGCCCGGCTCAAATTCAGGCTTTATGGGAAAGCACTGAATTTTTAAACTTCGTTATGTGAACTTTTGCTTTCATACCATTGTGAGAGCCAAGTAAGACAGAGGGGCAAGTGGGCCTTACACACTTGGTGAACCTGAGAAGTCTCATCCAGGCTTCCTCTTGGGAGGGCAAGTTGTTCCCTGCTTTCTCTAGGGTTTAAGGAAGACATGGAATCTGCCCAGTCTGGCACCTGGAGGCTGGGTGGAAAAAAATCCTTCAAGAGAACATTATGGACCATGTCTGAGTAAATGTGTCTCTGTCCCAAAACTAGAATATGATCATAATACTTGGCATATAATATTACTGGTTTTATTTTATTTTCATCCAAAGGCGCGGGATTACAGGTTGAGCCACTGAGCCTGACTTATTTTTATTTTGTTGAGTTGGAGTCTCACTCTTGTCGCCCAGGCTGGAGTGCAGTGGCAGGTTCACGGCCACCGCAGCCTCGACCTCCTGGGCTTAGGTGATCCTTCCACCTCAGCCTTCCAAGCAGCTGGAGCTACAGACGCACATGCTACCACACCTGGCTAGTTTTTGTGATTTATTGTAGAGACGAGGTCTCACCAAGTTGCCCAGGTGGTCTTGAACCCCTGGGTTCAGGCAATCCTCTCGCTCAGCTTCCCAAAGTGCTGGGACTACAGGTTGAATCACCGCACCCGGCCACTGGTTTTTTAAAATAATGCCTTACGTCAATATGGTTTATGACTGTCAACACACTTTCCCAAACATTCATCTTCTCTGCTCACACCAGTCCTATTTGATAAACAAAGCAGTTTTGATGCTTCCCTGTCAGATGAGAGTAATG